CCCGCACCCCTCCACGCAGCGTCCTGTGGTTCTACCAACCCACTTTAATCTTGAGCTGCGTTTCAAGGAGCAGGGTGCTGCTAACAGCGATTCCCAAAACACCAAACGGGGGCTGACAGGGATTTCCAGCAGGATCCAACTCCCCTCGTGAATTACGACCTTGCCCCTGGCACTAGGACACACCTGGACATGGACCTGAACCAGAACTTGCTGATCCATACGTGTTCGGTGGAGTATATATGACATTTTTAACTTTATTTTAGTGATAACACTATTGAACTGGCTCAGCCCATTTTTTTTATAATGAGGAAGCAAACACGAGCAGCATCAACACACCAGGCTTCTCCCGAGCACCCGCTTTCTGTGGCTCCTACACAGAAGCTGGACTCCCGACATTACCACAAGCTGCCTCAATCTGTAATTCACAGCAAGGATGCTCAGCACGACCAGGACAGCTGCAGTTTAAACCAAGATTAAACTCGGGCTAGAGAAGAAGGGCCCGGTAATTCACAGTCTCTTTGGTGGAAGTGACCACGGCAGCGGTATCTCCCAATCCCTGCCCTGGCAGAAAGGCTCCGATGGCGTCAGACGTGACAACGCGCACGGGATCCCAGGGATTTCTGCCCGAGTCCAGCTTTCTACAAAAAAACCCTCAACTACAAACCATTTGCAAACAGTTGCTCATGTGGTAGGAAGCAGCTTAGTGGGTACAGAATGTTCAAACACTCAAACACAGAAATACTTAATTATCAAACTTTAATTCAGAAGACTAATCTTACAGAATAAAACAAGAGGATAACCAGTCAAGGTTACACTTAAAAAAATCCAGCAGTGCAAATCTAAGACTAAATATTTGTCATCTCCCCCCTCCCCTGAAATAGGCAATAGATTTTTTAAAAATACCATAATACATGGTACTTACATATTCCATTTAAAATAAATCTGCAGTGGACACAAACATTTAAGATTTTGTTGTTGTTGTTAATATAAAACCAAAGAATGAATTGCTTAGAATATGGATAAGACACAGTGAACTTCCATGAGCCACAGAAAGCGAATCCTTGGCTAGAAGGTAAAATGGCCACGTTTCATACAAGACTGGCGAGAGCTCTCCTGGTCCCCCTCCTCCCTCCCCCCGGTGACAAGGACATTAATTAACAGAACAAGATGCCAATAACCTGATCCTAACAGGTGGCGAAAGGCTGGAGTACAGAACTGGAAACGAAAACAGCACCATTGGAAAAATCAAGTTATAAAGGAAGAAAAAGTAAACAGCAGGAGAAAAGTCTGGAAACAAACCTGGCTCCGCGGGGCCGGTGCAGGGAGCAGTCGGAGCAGGGAGGGTGCTGCGCCCAAGCCCAGCAGCGGCTTCACCGGCGGCTTCACCGGCAGCAACACGGGAACACCGTGACTGGGAGGGGAGAGCGTGGGGCAGACCACCTCAGTATGGCACCTTGCCAGCCTCACGGCACGTGAATCGTTTCTCTTTGGCCCTTCGAGTACGAAGCAGCGACGGATGTGAACTGCCTCAAGTACAAGACGGAACAGTTTGTGCACGTGTTTCCAGTTACAGCGTCCTGCGCGCTGGGTTTCTTCTCAAGTTCTTTGAATTTGGATCACTTCTTCTCTTTCACCATCATAACACCCTTATTTTAGTTACATTTCTCATCAAACAGTGTCATTAATGGAAATTAATTATCTACTTTAATCATAAACTTGATATGAAAAACTTGCGAGTCATACAAGATTTTCAGGCCAGATCCAGTCTCTGTTCAAACCCAAACACGGCTCAGGGCTAAACGTTTCCATTCCTAACGCGACACTCATCCAGGAGCTGTTTACACTTGGGATGCACAGAGAAGGAATACTCGGCTCGGGACAAGGAGAGAAGAAACCCACAGCGCCGGATGGAGAAGGGACAGGGACGGCACACCGGTGAGCTGCAACACTCAGCGCCATCGAGCGGGGCGCGGGGGCTCAGGGCTGCGGCAGGACCCCCGGACAGGGCGGCAGCGCGGAGGGAGACGCTGCCCGGGGGGTGTCGGGACCAGCCGCCCGCGCAGCGTTGTTCTGTGGAAACCCACGGCTGCGTTACGGATGCCCTGAGCCCCGATTAATAAACCCAGCAAAGCACTTCATACAACTTCATGAGGAATCGCACCCCAAAGTGCTCACAGGGACTTGCACACATACAGCAGGGAACCAACCTCCACTGAAAGGCCATCGTTAAATTGTAATTTAACTGAAATCAACGTTTGTGGAAGTATCATCAGGCATCACCATAAACTTCCTACAGAAGATTACACATTGGATCTCAAAACAACCTTTATCAGCCAACTCAAAACACTGATGATACTTGCTCCTTACTCACAATGTTCCTGTCTTACCGAGGACTAATTGCCACATTCCTCCGCAGGACCATGTGTTACGCTGAGCCTGCCCCGGAGACGATCACAGTTATCAGAGAATAACACCCAAAGTCAAGAGAGAGGCCAGCAAAGGGCTCCCCAGTTAGGCAAACTGAAACACTACCCAACTGAAGAGCTGGTGTTTTCTTAGATGTTAATGGTCATTAGTTAATGTCAATAATTGCCTTGGAAAAAGCGGTATATACCAGAGCTCCACATCGTTCTGAAAGAGAAAGGATGTTAAAAGCAGAGCTGCTAAGTTCAGTTGGAATATTCATTTCAATGAACTCCCAAGAAACTTACTGTATTAGGCCAACAAACACCAATTAAAGCATTTTACATAAGTATCGCGTTCCTGTATTTTAATTCAAACTTTGCACACAGAACAAAAAAGGGAAACAATTTCCAATCAAATCGACTTGAAAAGAAGCACCCAAGTGGAATCACATTTTCTTAGTTTGTAGCATTTTCTTCTCTGTGTTTAAAATCGCTTCGTAACCCAGTTTTTATCCAGTTTCTTTTGCCATGGTCGATTGTACCTGGCCCAGGTGCGGGGTAACCGAGCCCGGGGGAGAGGAGCAGGCGGGACCATCGGGTGCTGCCCTGCACCCCGGGCCCAGGCGCCCTCCTGGCAGCGGCAGAGCGGTACCGGCCCTCCCGCGGCACCCGCAGCAGAGCGTACTCACCCGCCTCACCGCACCGGGCACCGGAGCCACCGGATCTGGGAGACACGTCCTCTCAAGGAGCAAGCAAATGAAAGAACAGGAAAGGAAAACGGAATATGAACAGAGGTACAGACAGGTCCAAGCAAGTCAAGTAGCAAGTGGAAGATGATAGTCACAGAACCAAGGGGACAGTGAGTGCCAAGGTGACCCCAAGTGACAGAAAAAGCAACCGCCAATCCCCTCTGTACTGCAGTGTGCACTTTCCCCCGGGTACTGAATTTTAAATCTAAGCCCCAGCACCAGGACTGGCCATTAGAACTGCAATAGCTCCATTTAATTTGCAATTTTATCTCCAACTAACTCACAGCAGCTCCACTACCTGCGCCCCTTGCTGCGAGCGTTGGAAGGGAGCTGCTCCCGGGACGCAGCATCGTGCAGGATCAGCTCCCATCTCAATGCACTGATGTCGAGACACTGCTGGTGGCTTCTATACAGAAAGGAAACATCTCAAGCTACAAGAGTCACCAGCACATCACTAGTTTATATGTAGGATATGAAACACCTTTAAAATTCATATTGCATGAATGTTCTAACTGAAAATACAAAACAAAAGTTGCTTATGTTGCTATCAAGAGTCTAAATACATCATCTTGACACAGACCATAAAGTGAACACTCTTCCCAGTCTCTCAAATAAAATAAAATTAAAATAAAATAAATACTCATTTGGGAATTTGCACGTGCTGAGTTTCAACTGGGCTGTTTCAAGCAGAGTGAAAAATGGACATGGAATAGATTAAAATCAGCTATTCCTACACAGCTGTTTCTCCAGGAGACTCACTAAATGCTGAGCTACTTGCATCGAGCAGTACCAAGTCTACAGTGTTAAAAAAAGAACAGCGATCTGTTAGACGCAGGTTTAACACAGAGCAAGACTGATGCAGTCTGCACAACACAGGCTGTTAAGGGTGTGCACCTTTTCAGGACTGAAAGGTCCATCCAGAAAACCTGAGATAAATGGCACATGAATTGCTGAGATGACACGCAGAACGTCACAAACCAAAGGCGAGGAGCGTGATTTCAAAGGCGAGGATGAGATGCGAGAGCTCCCTGTAAACTTGAGCAAGAGAAAAGCTGAAAGATGATTTACATTTCAAAATACCAGTTGCTGGATAGATTTTAAATTTGGTAAGATTCACTGATAAGATCACTGTAAATTTTCAAACCCAGGTCACAAAAGACTTTGTGATTGTTTAGGACCCAAAGGGGCATCCGAGTGTCTCTTGTCCCCGCTCCCCTGAAGGAGGCAGGAAGGTCTCTGGTTCGCTCTCTTCGGAGACCCGCGTCACTGCTCCACCCCGCTCATGCCAGACAGTGTTACGTGGCACTCAACAGGGTCTTCTCAGTCAAACAGGTAAATGTGTCATCACAACAGCTGCAAAATTATTCTGGCCTGTAACGTGCATGGTCAAGAAAATGCTCCGAAAACCGCCGCGAGCCCAGGGCAGGAGGCAGCACCAGAGCAGAGGTGTGCAGGCAGGAGGGGAACCGCTGCGGTGGCATGAAAGGGGACAGCAGGCAGCACTGGGTCACTGCGATTACAAAACATCCACAGTGGTATTCATCTGCTCCAAACATGCCCCACAAAGAACCAACCCAGAGCTTCCAGTATTGGAGGAAAAATAATAATAATAAAAAAAAAAGCAGGGCATCTTTGGGCTGGAAGATAAACCAAAATGAGTTTTGCTACCAAAGAGTTAAACTAGAAATAAAAGGGCCAGTAGAATATGGCTTACTAAACACCAATTTTGCATACTGTTTAAAGTTTATTTTTAAAAAACTGTTTCTGAAATTCTCAGTCACGACCAAGTAACTAAATTAAGTCTAACGCTTGTAACTGAAAGATTATGAAAATATTTGTTTTTGTTCAAACCATGTAAAAAATCCTCAATAATACATTGTAATATTTTCTTTTTATAACTAAATTGGAAGATCAACTCTCAGCAGATTTAACTGTATTACACACAACATTTTGTGAATTAAGATTTATTGATTTCCATTGTATTTGCTTTAAATATGGTTGAAGCTGACTGCAGAAAAGGGATGGTGAAATTTTTAAGTTAAAAGTAAACTAATGGTGAAAGAACATCACCTCTGGCTTCCATCAATGCCTCGTTTATCATATTTTATTAATAAGTTCCAGGACTATCACATCCAGGGATGTTGGAGGCCTCTCCCAGCAGTGTCCTTAGCTTTGTGTCATTTTCCTGTGCCAGAGGTGAGCGTGCTTTCAAAAATACTGCCACTTTCCCAGCACCGTGTCTTTGATTGCATCAACATATTGAGTCGGTACCCAATAGACCCAGTAGTAAGATGCTTCTGTTGGGCCCAGCTGAAATGCCTGCAAAGTTAAAAACGACAACATTTACAAAGGGGAACAGAACAGCTGATGCCAGCGGACGGGTCCAGCTCACCCGCTGCAAAATCAGACGAGCTGTTACACCGACTGCCGCCTCCCGGCGCGCGGTGCACACCACAGCTGTTTGATAAGCGCTCCTCAGAGAAACAAGAACTGCAAAGTACCAATTAAAATGACGAGCTCTTTCCTTTCACGGTATCATAGCAGCCACAAAAACTCTTGGCCAGTTTTGAGAACGTGAGGAAATTGTTCTGTAAGACAGAATCTCAAGTGTAACTCCAAGTCTCTACAGAAATGACCAGACTGCACAGAGCTGAGAAGCCAAACAGGAGCTAAATAAGACAATCACCACGATTTCATAGTCATAAAGTTTCATGGGATTTTATGTTTAGACATAACATCCTATTCCCAACTTATGTCAGGATAAATAGGAGAGGAACACCACGACATGTCAGTAACCTCTATCCCTGCTTTAGGATAAGAGTTTATTGCATTCTGTTCTGAAGAGGACATTTTCTTACACAAGTGATCAAAAAATCAAGTATTTGGACAAAGACTAGTTCAGTGCCCTCCTGCAGACAATAATTTTAAGGTACAACATTTCCCCTTTCTTCCACTGAAGAAGGAAATAGACTTATATAAGGAACTTACTTTAACATTAAAAGTTAGTTACTGTACTTTGGAAAGCAAGACCTCAAAAAACCCCATAGATTCAAACCATAGATTCAAAGAAACAGCCAAAAATTCTGTGGAATTAACACTGTTCTCTTCTTAAAAGTGTTGCTTTTCTAGACCCAATGCCAGTTTTTCAGAAAATTACATATGAGAAAAAAATATAACAGCATCAAATCACTATTTTTTTTTTAATGTTCAGCAAGGGCTCTTGTTTATACAAACACAATAGAAACGAGAAATTAAACCAGATATTGGAAAAATATCACTAACATTAAGAAATCATAAGCTACATGGTGGGTATTTTTACTGTTGTGACATTGTCACAAGACAGAAGAAAGGGAATAATGCTTAAGCACTAACACTGGTGTGAAACCAGCTCAGATCTCCACAAAGTAGCCCACGACAGCAGCCCATGTCCACATTTCCACCTTCCACAACACACCAGGCTGGTATCACTATCTGTCTCTGACTCACTCTGTTTTAAAACCCTTACTTCTGTGTATTTGCATAAAATAATTAGACTGATATTAGAGGCTTTACTTACCATCATGTGATAGTCCTCATGTCCTTCAATAGGTTCACTCACCACATTTTTAATGGACCCCATGGGTAACTTTTCTGTTCTCTCTACATTAAAATTGATCACAGTATTATTTCTGATATATGAAGAAGTTGTATTTCACATTCATTTCAATTACCTCCATTACCTCCGAAAGCTCCTCACGTCAGCAGTCTCCTCTTTGGCTGAACTTTGGATACCTGCTGCTGAGGAGCCTGTCTTCAACATCAACACTTACCCACAGCTGGCACGCTCATAATTTAAAGGAATCCAAAACTGGATCACAGAGTTCCTCGTATCTTATGTCTCTGCACCCCATTAAGTACTTCAGCATCCCTGATTTGGGCCTAAAATGAGTATGTCCTAAAGCCTGGCTTTATTTAATGTTTCCCCATAAGGGACTCCACTCTGACCTGCAGGATTACTGACCATCCTGAAAGCTGGTCCAGAACACTCAGGACTGACTCCCAAGGATCATCCTAAGCTCTACAGAAATGCCAAGGCTGAAAAAGCTGAAGGAAGATAGGCTAAGCAGCTCTTTGAAAGCCTAGTCCTGGTTTTACCTTGAGGCAGTGTTCAACTCTTACTATAAAAGCACAGGGAAGGGAATATGAATGAGCAAAT